ATGCGTATTCTATAAGCTCGAATTCTGTTAGAAATATTAATAAACTAACTAAATATTAATAGATTATTAGAATATTAATAAACTAATACTCTAATAAAATATTAATATAGACTATGATTAAACTGAAATATTAGTAAATTAATTGAATATTAATAGATCATTAAAATATTAATAAACGAATTGAATTGTAAAATTGAATTTTGAAACCTTCCCGAGTAATAAAGCTACGAAGAAACGGTTTACTACTTTGCATCAAATCATGATTATTCACGCTACCGATATCGGTTTGTTTTAAATGCACGTTCTATCATTTCATTGGTATTTGATTTTTCATAAATTCTGATCTTCCACTAAGCTTAGAAAAAGTATATCAGAGAATTGTAGAATTGTACCGAGAATGAAATATTTAATTTGAGATACTTATGTCTATGTATCTATATACACACATACTGTATTTACTTATAAAGAGCGATCTATACGTATTTGTACAATACACATCCGAGTACACTAGCACGTAGCAACCATACCTACATATGCAACATACTTCATTGCATATTTATAACTCTGTGACCTAGACTGCAAAGTTTTCATTTTTCTTTTGACTTTCAAAATAAAACTTCACGGCGCGAGTGGCACGTTCGTTTCTGAATACACAAATGAATACACACATATGTATGTATATATAGTATTCGTCATCAAAACTTATAACTTCGAAAACAAAGGTGTACAGTAACAAAAACGCTATCTTTCAGATGAAATTTTAAAAACATTAAAGCATGCTATTCAGAGCTTTAGTTTATTTTGCACTCAACGTTCAGCGATATATTGTAAACTCTGTGTTTCAGAAAGACAATTTGGCGTGTGCCAAAGTCGAAACTCAGTCGTTCTACGTCTGAAGGATATGACATTTCCGAAAAATCTGAACAACACGTAAAAATACAGGATTTTTGATCTAATAGAATGTGGGTGATCCGCTGATTGAGCACATTGGTAAATGAGTTCAAACACGAATTGATATTAGCGAACACTACGGTTCAGTTGTATTCAACAATCAATGACATTATTATGAATAATATCTGCTAATACATTATTTTCATTTATTACACATATTACAATGCACAAATACATTTACTATCATTGGTACAGATGATATTAACCCGGGGAGGATGATAGCAGTAATCGTGATGGGAGTAATGGTAGTGGTATTATGAAAAGTATAAATGCTTCACACCGAATCTTGTATCAGTAGTTGAGAAAACCTATTTACATGATATCGGATCTTACTTTTCATTTCGCTCTTACGCTATATTGTGGAAACAACAGGTAAGAAAATACCGAATTTCGTTGGCATTGTTCAATTTGCTCAGTAGTATTATAAGATGTAATTGAACACACAGCCACATAAAATGTTGCCTTCGTTTCATGGCTACTCACTCACTCATGTACATTTTGGTGATTGCAAGTGATGAAAAAAATGCAGAATACAAAATATTTTTGAAATAAGTTATTTGACCGGACGATAGTAATTGATTAATATCTGCAATAAAAGATAAACGTATAGTTAATATTTGATATTCTATGCTTCTTTTATGCTGATAGAATTGAGATGAAGGAATATTTCGTATTTCTTTTTATAAAAATTCGAAATATCTCGGTCAGCAATTTGGATAAAAGGGAAATCGTAATTCTCATGTCACACATATGTCAGCATGAAAGAAATTAATAGTGGAAAAATTAATTATAAATAAATGACTTTATTTTTCTAGCACATAAAATAATTTAGACCATAGTAAATATTTGTTCAAAATGAAATATTTCATTCACAAATGTAAAAGTATTAACTTATTTATTAATATACTTTAATGTAGATTAAAAAATTTTATTTCATATCTGAAATCTACATTTATATCTGAAGTATCTACTTGAACGTAATAATCATTCAAACATCTTTATCTCTTTAATTGTATTTCAAATAATAACAGCTATTAACGTTACGGGATTTCCCCTAACCTTCTTAAGAAGGAAATCAATCAAAAAAATTATGGTTGAAGAATTAGAATTATTCCTTCAGTATCTTTATCGTCAATATGTTTTCGATAATATATTTTCAAAATTTTAGTAATTCAAAGTAATGATTTTCTAAGCCTATGTAACGTTACAGCTTTGGGTCTATAAATTGGTAAAGGTAATGTAAAGCTGTTTACAGCTAAAAAAGACGCAAGGTTGGATTTAGTACCTGTAGATTGATAGTCGTCAACACGATACTGTGCCGCGTACCAGAAATGCAGATCCTCTTAGGTAATATTTATTCGTCAACTTTTCGAGTGTCACAAAGATTTAGAATTCATTTGAAGCGCATAAGTCAAAAGCACGTCATTGTAACGATGATGACGAATAAAAAGAAAATTTTAAGCACTGAGCGCTAAAACCATATTTTATCTGAATATGGGCTTATACACTTAACTTATTCCAAGAGTATACTTTAGTAACTATAGAAAATATCCTTCCCCTCCCGAAATTTGCTAATACTATGTGTTTATATTCACTTTAGTTCTCAAGTTTTTCAAAAAATAGAAAAACCATGAAAATAAAAATTTCTGGGTTTACTTCAATAAAGTTATTCTCTATTTTAAATATAATTCTATTAATTGTACAAGCAGTAAATACTTTATTTTCTAAAATGGGGTCACCTGGCAGATATTTACCTGGAATATAGCGTAGAATCGCCGATGAACGATGTACACAATGGTATTCTTATTGCAAAGCAGTAGAGAGCAAATTTGTTTACGATATTTTGAATATATTCTTGCATATCTTGCCTGTTTTTTTTTTATGGATATTGTTTTCAATTTTCGGGGTAAAAAACCAATGTAAGCATCCTATTGATTATCGAACAACAGGTAATCGCACGTTAGGACAACAATGTTAAAAAATGGCATTTCAAAATGATGAAAATTAACTAGAACTTCAATCATCAATTTTCAACGTTAAAATACTTCAGTATGCGCTAATGGACATTCCATAGAGAGGACAGCCATAAATTGTAATTGGATTTACGAGTTAGGGATTGGAAGAAGTATATAACAAATTACCATATGGAAATTGTAATATTAATTCTGAAGGTTAAATCTGATCCTGTAAACGCAGCGCGACGGTTACCACTGTATCTATAGAAATAGCTTGGTATAAAAAAACAATATAATTACATTATACTAATATTTTTGTACATTTGAGTAATGAAGTTTTTGTTTATTTCAGGTTCTATTGGATACATAAGGCAACTCAAATATTTGGTGCAGTCGCTCTCTTAGCTGTAATATTATATGTCACTTGCTGATCGTTTTCACTGATATTGCTTCTACTTAAATTTAGAACAAAATAAATAAAATTTTAGAAATAAATTCATCTGTTTAAGCTGAGACATTCTACTCGCTTTTCCTTAGATGTGTTTTCTTTATAGTTAGCAATAACTTAATACGTGCAGTTATATAGGTCGAAGTTAATGATTAGGACAATGTTCACCTAAGTGCGTGGTACGTGATGAAAAGCTAATCATTAGGGTGTATCTCATTGATGAGTGTCTGAGACGTTCAAACTTTTTCATTCATTTTTGTAACAAGTACGGTTCATGGAAAAAATAATACAAAAATATCCACTTTTGGTCCGTAAATTTGTTTATTCGAATATTTCATATGTGCATATTCATATTATTTATATATTTTTCGTGGATTTGCTAGATTATATAAATCCACGGCAGTATCATGATGATTTTCCTCAAGTATAGAATGAAAATTACTGCGTGTTCCAGGATATTTTAGGTTGTGGGATCTAGAATAGCAAAAAGAATCTTAGAAGGAATAATATCTGGACGACGAGGATTATTCCATTTGTTTGAGATCCACGAAAATGTTTAAGCATTGATATTTAGGACAACTTTCTTCTTTCCATGTTATCGCCAGGCTATTTTCGAGACAGTTTTCGCAAAAAAGTATCAATACCGCTGCAATGATTCCCATTTGTGACAGTCCTCACTTTTATGTAAATTCGTTTGCTTATGTAAAAGATATACTTCGAGCATTGGTTCTAGCTAAAGTGACTACGCAACTAATATTGACATGTGCCGTTATGAACATAAAATTGCGAGCAGCATTTACTGCAGCAATGCAGAGGCTTTTTTGAATATATCTCGAAAATTAAGCGATTCCAACAATTTTATTTATGAATATATATAACAGATATGTATACACACACGCGTGCACACACGCAGAAAAAAGTTGATCAAAATGTTAATTTTTACGACGTATTCAAAAACTTTCGGTATCGGAGAGGAGATGTGTTATGTCAGCGGATCAATCGGAAATATTACTATAGGAAACACGAACAATCCTCTGCTTTTGTACTTCATACGTTTTTTGGTTTGACAGTTCCGTGGAATGTTGATATAGTGGCCAGCTCCGAAGAAAGTATTTAACGAGTTATTTTATAAATGAGTTTGAACGTTTCTTATACAAAGACCAAGGCTTCTTTTAAAAATGAGAAAATCTCCATAGATATGCTGATCATCTGATGAGAGAGCGGAAAGTAGTGCCAATCTTATGCCGGTTGAAACCTCTAAAACCTATGCAAAATCTCCTCCGCCAGCACACAGTACCGTCTGTAACCCAGTTTATAACTCCTTCCGGGCTTGGATGCAGGAGAATTGTTTATTGTGGCCAGATAAGCTAATGGTGACCATACGAAATAGAGAAAACCTCCATACAAAAGTTCTCAGGCGGCTAGCGTGGCTGATTTTCTGCAGCCAGCGTGTTCCTTTGCAGTCAAGATGCATTCTCTCACGAACAGCTTCTGTGCTTCTTTCTTCGTCGTGATCGGAAGAAGTGTTCAGCCAAAGCATTGACCAGTAGCACTCACTAATAGGATAGATCGGACATCAAATAGGGTTTCGTGTCTCAGGTTCTAAAATTCCGACCAGGATGAAAATCATCACTTACGGGTCTTTCAGCGCACTTTACGTTTAAATGAATTGGAGAAGCTACGTCATACAAAATGATACAAGTTGGATAAGAATAATGATATCCGTTACAGTGTTGTACATCTTCAGCCGCAATAATATTTTATATACCGTGAAAATGATATAACGATTGATAATCTCTGAATTTTTGGAAAAAATGAACAATATACGAATGTAATGCTCTGATATCGAGAATGATGCATTCTATGACCGTGAAAGTTACCAGAGGAAACTGAAATTGAGTTTTTGCATTGAGTTTGAAACATAAATCCGTTAGAATAACAAGCGCTTACCTGAAACGGTTGCATTTTATAATAAGACTAAATTTGGCGTAGACGTTGCAGACTAAATGGCAAACAAATATAGCAAATCAGAATCAAGAAGGTAGCTTCAAGTATTTTTCAACATTTTAGATTTGCCTGGATCTTATTTAAAGAAACAACAGCTAAAAAGATATCCAGAAAACATTTTGTGTTTTAACTAGCAAATGATCTTGCTACTGAAAATGTAAAACCAAGGATGGAATCACGGGAAGATGTCCAAAGAACTTTAAACAGCTCACTTTATTCACGCAAGTGGTGTCAGACAGGGTATTGTAATAATAATAAGACTCGAAGAGTTTGTAATATCTGCAAAAAATACGTAAGCGGAAAATGCACTGAGAAGAAAAACTGATTACGTTTGTAAGAAATGTGACAAATTATAACTTCTTATACCTAATAATTTACTTTATACTATAAGAATAACTTTGGAGATGTTTTAAATATTTTTGTTACCAAAACATATATTCTTTATTATAAGTACTTTTATTATTGATGTGTAAGTGGTAAAATGTGCCAATCCTCATTCATGGAATCAAGATCACGGATCCCGGTCTCAGATAAATTAATAATACCAATCTAATTAAGAGCAAAAGTGTATTACGTAACATGGAATTTCTTTTGTAAGAAAGCAATAAATCAATAAATTTAAAAATGTTCTACCATTACGTGTATTTTAAGTACCAGTCATATAGACTGGTTTGGTGGAAATTTAGCTTCGTCTTAATTTCGGTAGTTTTAGTGTTAATTTTTTTATTAAGATAAACTTATTAAGATAGTAAAAGCTATACAGATTGAATTAAATTTTTCAAAGTGATAGTATCATTTGCTCATTACATCTTCTTTTTCTTCTCTTCACGTTATACAAAAATTTTTTATGTAGTTTAGTCAGGAGCTCAATTTTTTGTGTTCTTCAATTTCTTATATGTTCTTACATTTCTTATTTCAAGTATACAAAGTCGATAAGTATGTAGTACACCATACAGTCAAGTTTATTTTCACCTATAAGAGAGAGTAAAGCTTTCCCTTTTGAATATGAAATGTAGCGTGCCGATCTGACCTCGACGTATAAGTAGCAGATTGGTGGCTTGCTGTGTTTCAACGTTAATGTCGAAAGTCAGCTGATTTAAGATAGAGTTGTTTTAAAGTTAGATTGGTAGGATTGAGGAATGTAAATGGTCATAAAAGAAAGATTGATAAAATTTGAATGAGTTTGATAGTCGAACCTTGACCTGTCGTATGGGTTGCTCCGAAACTTCGGTGCTCACTGCGCGATTGTCAAAACATTAATTGTTGTTTTTTTTTTTATTTAATTAGTCAGAATGTTTCGTCTGCAGTAACCTGGGCCTGGAGTGCCCTTTAACCTGCATAAAGATTGATATTATTCATTTGTGGATATTTATGTGGTTTGATTGCATGATGAGGTGAGGTTAGGCTTGCAGGAAAAGTTTCAAATAACCTGCAGGTTCCTTGATACAGTTTGAATCTGAAGGTTTTGGTTCGTTAGGTTGATGCGTGTTTAGATAACTTGACCTTGACTTTGAGTGATATGTTTTCGACTTGATAATTGCCTGTTTCCCTGATGAGGGGGTTCTGATTGTTGTTGTAGGCATCGGGTTAGGGTAGTGAGTTTTGAATATGATCGTGAGGATGTTGGCTAATTGATGGAGCTGTGCTACGGCTGTGTCCCTCTGTTTATTGAGAACGATTCTAAGGAATTTGTTTAGTATGATTTGTATTTTGTTGATGTGTGCTTTGGCAGCAGAGACCCAGACTTGATATCCATAAATAATTATTGATATTTTGCATGTTAGATACAGTTAGATTTTGATGTTTTTCTTGAGTTTGCTATTTCGGGCTATGAGAGGGTATATCCTGGATAGTGCTGGGATAGGCGAGAGTTCTTTTTTCTATGGCTTTGGCCCAATGAGTTTATTGTCTACTGTTGATCCTGCGTAATTGGCCGTAGTGGTCCATGGGATGGAGTGTTCATCGATCAAAACTTTATCTGCGACTTGCAGGGATCTGTGGGAGAAGGTCAGGTATGGCGTTGATGTGGGTTTATATATACTTTTGTTGCCTATGTCGGGTTCCATGATGACGCGTATATGGCGGTATCATCCGCATATATGGCGGTTTGGATGTTAGTGGTGGTGGGAATGTCGTTAATGTATATACAGAAAAGCGTTCGTCCGAGTATGGAGCCCTGCGGTATTTCGTCCTTGATGGGGTGTGTCTCTGATTTGGTTCCTTGTACTGATACATAGAATTGTCTGTCTTGTAAATAGTTTTCGATGATGTTGGTGATTGAGGTGGGAGTTTTGATTTTTTGTAGTTTGTACAGTAGGGCTTCATGCCAGACCGTGTCGAACGCTTTCTCGAGATCGAGTAGTATCAGTTGTGTTATCCTATTTTTGTTTAGTTCTATTGTGGCGTACTCCGTAACTCTTTGTAGTTGATTAATACGCGAGTGGTTTTTACAGAATCTAAATTGCTGTGGTATAATTATATTATTGTTGTTAAGATGCTTGAGGAGATGGTGGTGAATGATTTTTTCTAGTACTTTACTTAATGTGTTTAACAGGCTGATGGGCCTGGAGCTGGTGGTTTCTGTAGTTAGTTTACCGGGTTTGGGGACCGGATGAATTTTGGCTAGCTTCCAAGTTTTGGGGAAGTATGATAGTTGGAGACATGCTTTGAGGATGTAATATATATGCACCATGATTTTTTTAGGAAGATTTTTTAGTTCGACGTCTGTGATCTTGTCTGGACCGGGGGCTTTGCTGTTTGGTAGCTTTGTGATTATTTTGTGTATGATGTCGGGGGTTATCGTGATGTGCGTTGTGGAGAGTGGAAGTGTTTCCCTTGTTGTCGTAGTGGTCTGTGGGGAAGGCTGGTTAATCGTATTGTTTGCAGTGTTGGGTTGTAACTCGTTGTTGTGTGTTTTGGCGAAGTATGCGGCAAGGGCATTTGCTTTATCAAGGTCCGTGTAGTGTATGGAGTTATCTGCAGGTTCATTTAGCGGAGGCATGGGGGGGGGGGGGGGGTTCAGTCCTGTCATCTTGTACGTCTGCCATAGTGTGTGATCTGGTTCCTCTATTTTTTCTAGGCGGTTTTGCCAGATGCTGTTTCGGGTGGTTTTGATTCTTTTTTGTATGAGTGTTAAGATGTTTCTCTGTAGCTTGTGTAGCGGGTGCCCCGTCTTCTCGTATTTTCTTCTGTGTCCGTTGCCGTTCGTTATTACGGTTTGCAAATTTGGATCGGTGTACTCTGTGGTTTTGGTGAGTCGGGCGGCATTGCAGTGGACGTGGTATATGTTCTTCTGGAGCGTGTCAATCTGTTTGTCTATGTCCTCTTGACTGCTGATGTGTTGGTTTAGCGGAAACGTGTTGCAAATTTTTCTGTATAGTTTCCAGTCTACTGTGTGTTCCGGTTTTTCTTCAGGTTTTAATAATTGGTGTGGATGGTTAGAATTACTGGGATGTGATTCGAGAACTCGACCGTTTCCGTCAAGCATCAAGATGAGTGTTCTGACATCTACGACATAGAAGCGGGCGTCCGACAGGGCAGTGTGTTAGGCCCATCCTTGTACACAATATATACATCAGATATTCCAACCATGAGCGAAACCGATACATCCGCAGACGATATATAGCTATATTATCCGCCCACAATGACCCAACGGCAGCGATAAATATCTTACAAAAACACATCGAACTACTAGAAGAATGGCTGCACCGATGGAAAATAAAAGTAAACACGGACAAGTGTAAGCACATTACCTTTACCCTAAAGAAAAGTACTGTTTCTGATATAAAACTTGACAATATTCCCGTACCACAAACCAAATCGGTTAAATATCTGGGATTATACTTGGACTTAAAATTAACTTGGAAACACCATATACACTGTGAAATCGACCAAATTCGTATTAAGAGGAAAAACATGTACTGGTTTACGTCCAAAAAATCGAAACTAAGTCTTGACAATAAACTTTTAATATATAAAGCAATTATAAAGCCTATCTGGACCTATGGCATCGAAATGTGGTGCATGGCTGCCAAAAGCCACATTGCTAAACTTGAGGCATTACAATCTATAATCCTTGCAGTAAACAGTAACCATGCTCCATGGTATGTTCGAAATGACGAAATCACCAGTCGCTGCGACAGATATAAAAAAAGAATAGACAATCACCCCAACGACTTAGCAAAGGAATTATATGTAACTAGTCTGCCTCGCAGACTGGATAGGAAGCATCCAAAGTATCTTCTATCCTAACATCATCAAGTTTCAACAGATGTTCTCCACGGGGATAACAGCCACGTGCTAATAAACCATTCCCGATACGATAATTCACCGAATGTCCTTGCTGGAAAAATTGTGAAGGCTCTTGGAGATAATAAAAAAAAAAAACTCACGGATATAAAAAATACCCATAGTCGCTATACTCGTCGAAAATTCTATGTATACAATCAGTCGCTCAGTGCCGATTTGGACCTTTCATCCTACGACATGACTGAGCGACTAGAGGAACGTAAATGTATGCGACTTACTCCGAAGAACTGGACTGAATGAAAATCATCGTGAAGATCCTCGTCAAATAGGTATCACTGATCCCACGATGGAAGTGAACGCTATGAAAAATTTCTGAAGGAATAAGGCATAGTGTTATTTGTGAAAATTTAAATTTTCATAATGATAAAAATTGAGATTCTAATAATTTGAAATTTTTTTTATTTCACAGCTATAATTTAACTTGAATGAAAAGAGAATTATAGAGAATAGAATTAGTTCAAGTACAATGTGCCAAAGTACTCATTTTTAGCATTTCAAGCATCATAAGATTCTTAGAGGATACAGGAAATTTGGAGACTATAAGGAATCTGTACAAATCATAAAACATTAGAATTTGTATTTAAAAGCAAAGTAAAATCTCAACTCCGTGATAATGAACGTTCTTTGATTTAGAGTCACTTTTGGTTTCCCAAAAAGTACAATAAAATTGATATTGTGAAGCGTCTGTAACAAAACGTCATACATTATGTTTCGATGATAAATTTGAAAAATTGACCAAATTGAAGTATAATATACAAAACTACTTAACTATAATATACAAATCTTGTTCTCCTGGAGAGGCCTTATCTTCTTGAGCACTGACTCTAATACCGAAATCGAATATTGTAACGAGAGAAAATATGGAAAACGAAAAATAAAAGATTGCTTACGCGCGCGATTCAGTAACAATCGGTGAATTCACTTTAATGAATTAATTTAGTTTAATCAGAGCCATTTTTCTCAGAAATATTACAAATACTCAGTCCACCGAACGCGTTGCATGCGGTCACAAAAATTTTCTCAAAATAAAGCTGATTAGTAGGAATAGAGCAAAGGATAGGTATTTAGAAAATACTGCTATTTTTCTAGAACAGTTGATCGTAAAAAAATTTGAATATATTAAAGATGAAAGTTGTAAATTATACAATATTTCTCAATCCAGAATACTCTGAATGAAAGATGATTATTATTCGCTGAAATTGTATTCTCAATGTTCGTTATTAGAATAGGAAGTATGTAATGCACATTGGTAATATATCACATCACGCATATAAATATTCGAAAATATTTGCACAAATCAAAATTTCATAGCTAAATATTCTAGGAATTTGGTAAAAGATGGTTGTTTATTTAAGGTTAAAAATAAGAAAATTCGTTTAATGATGATTATAAAGTGACGTTTTACACTATTTTTTCTTTATCGCTACGTTTACACTCAATCTTTGCTAACTCAAGATTCACAGTTCTCTCTGTGTTCTCGCTTTCACGGCTCGAAACTCACTCTGTTCTCTCTGATTGCAAAAATTCACTGCCTTCTTCCTCATTTGCACAAAATTCATCATTCATACACACATACACAAACGCATCCATATCCTTAATATCTTAAATGCTATGCCTAGAAGGCTAGCCATAAACATTCCCAAGTCTCAGGCCTAACTTCATCTACAGTACGCCACTTGGGACATCTGGTTACAATTGTTGGGCAATGAAGAAAGTTCTGGACTCTTTCCCAGAATTTGCCCATCCCACAATATTTAAAAACCGACATCACTAAAAACGTTTGTGAAATCTTGCTTTGAATCGTTTCAATTGCGCGTCTGCATTCGAGAAGAGCAAGTATAGTATAATAAAGTAAAATCTAACAACTATTGATATAAATTTTTATCTGAAAACTTGTAGATGACAC